TTTCGGAGAAGGTCCGAAAGCTTTCTGTAAAACTCATCTTTTACATCATCTGAGCTGCAGTCAGTGGGAGAATAGGCAGAGACGACGAAGAGGCAACGACGAGTGTCCCTATCTTTCCGGATTCTTACTGTTCCGTTCAGTCGGACAGCGCACAAACGACTGTCTACTGGGATCCACTCTAAGAGAGCTAGTTCTGCTCTGGGACTCAATGCTATACCTACGCCGGCGAGGCCACGGGAAGCAGAATCAGGGCTTCCAGATACACGAAGCGTAAATCGAGTCGGTTCTTTATTTTGGCATGGTGAGGTCAAATGAATGATGCTACTTGGATCCTGTATGCGCGTTTCGGAGACGCAACACACATCGATGGCGCGAGATTCTAAAGTCCTAGCTAAGGAAGCCTGCTGTCCTATTTGGCACAGTGTTCGGACGTTAAAAGCTCCTACGTGTAGTTTAGAGCGTGGTTTGAGGAGACCAGGAATAGAGTTCCACGTACTCGAATCGTTTGCCCTAGCGGTGCGAGGTGATAAAGAGACGTGAGGAGGGTTAATCATGGAGATAAGAGAGGTATTAGAAGGTGTAGGAAGGATTTGAATGTGACCAACTTGGTCTCGCGTGCTGTTACGGGTATGAGGGCTGATGTCACTTCCCGTCTGCCCACACCGTGGAAGGGTATTTCTTGAGGAACCTGAAAAGGAAATTGGATTAGTGTTGGTCTTAACGACCTGGGAGCGTGACCGCAGAGCCCAAGGGACAACTGCTTGAGGCCAGTCGCGCACGGCCTTTTTGTAGAAGGTTTTTGACGTGTTAGCTACGTTCTTCAGATGGCCTTACCGCCGGAGACGGAAATCCGTGAGGTAAGGTGAGGTGTGACATTTTTAGGGTCGACCTTTTCTAACCCCACCCCTCCTTGTGGGAAGGCAGCATCGCTGTCATGCTGATTGTCCGAAGGAAACACCTTACTGCTGTCACACCTCTGTACAGTCAGCAGTACGACTTCGCCCTCAGACTTTGAGTTGCTGCTTTTAGTCTTATCGTTCACCAATCGACCTGCCTGGCATGGTAGAACCTACAGGAACATATGTTCCAGCCAATATAGCTCGGATGGGTCATCACGATAGGCAAGCCCGACCACCACGTCAAGGTAGCAGCTTCGGTCGGGTGTCGAATGATTGGGGGACTACTCGAGCTAGACGGGCACGATGTGATTAACTAGCCGACATCAAAGTCACACCATACGGTTAGTACCCAACGTGGTTTAGGATGCCGTTGTATCCCGGCACTTTGTTACATTGATTACCACACAATGCAAAAGAGACAGAATGCAACCACTGTCGCATGAACCAGTTCATGGCGTGCATTTAACTGATGTGCGGTAGTTGTCCTTGATCTCAACGAGGATCGGTGAACAGTTTGATATTCACTGACCTGACTGTTGGATGATTTGGCTAGGGTTCAGTAATATTTCACCGGCTCTATAAGCTAAAGCATGTGGATTACGTTTTCCTAAAGAGAAACGAGACAAAACCCAGACTTGTGCAGGCTGTATTTAGAATATTCTTTCCTTAAATCACTACTGACATAATGTTACTTAGTGAAAATCAAAATAATGGCAACTAGTAATTATCAGCTCTGTCCGATTCGTACTATAGTAGTCACGTATGGGATAGTATATGAGTTATAAACAAGTTCGTGAGCATAAACGAACATATTGTACTTGGGGTTCAAAGCAGATGCGTAATCTCGTACAGCGGAATTATCAATTAGTAGTGTAGTGGTAAATAAATCCCCAAAATAAATAGCTCTGTAATTTTTCGACATTGGATGCTGACCACATTAGTTTTAATGGACTCACCTAGTTGAAGGCGCTCGGTCATGCATCCGCACCAGATCACGAGTGGCAACGCCGAGCTCAACAACCCCTGCAATCGCTAGCCAGATTAGATCAGACGATCCTCGATATGTCGATAACCTATCAAATATATATTCGAACCCCCTGACTTCTGTCTTTTGATTTCACTTGGTGGGTACGATTCATAGTAGGATGTGTTACTGGTTAAAGCGTTGTCAAACCCCTAATGCCTGTGGCATCTTCAGCAGGAAAATTACATATATCGATACAATTTAGAAGTTTTGTATGACTTGCTTTGACGGTTTCAAATATGCATTTGCTTCTTAATATTCTGCACAAATTGAAATTAATAATTCACAAATTACAACCCAACTGTGCTCATCGGGATGTAAAGATTCATGTAGCCATTCATTGGTTTTTTTACAGTATCAAGTGTGAAGTGCATGTTTCCTAGAGTTTATTTTGTCACCGACATTTGACGATCCTTCCGATTAACTGATAGATCAGCATTATATTAGAGAAATATGACATCTAGATTACAATTCATTTCTTTTCAACCAAAAATTGAGGTCAAAGAAATGGTGAAGACGAGAAACTATCCAAAGACTCAGTTAAACATTAAAACTGAAAGGGCAATTATTCAGCTGGAATGGATATTAAGATTACTATCACCTATAGATTTGTGTATTACTATATCTGATAATAGGAACAGAACTTATTTTGCATTGATTATATCCTAATAAAACAATTTTTTATCAAAAATGAAGAATATTTGAGCAAACAATTGTTTTCAACAACTTCATTATCAGTCTCTACAGTTATAAGTCCATAATTATAAGATTTTACAAAGGCCAAAAATAAGGCATGTATTAGTGAATTTGACAATGTTACGCGTTAAAAATGGTGCATGTTTGCATCTGTTACGATATATATATACTTCAAAATTGTATTATTTGGCAAATTAGAAAGGTCAGGATGATTTGGAGTAGTGTTCAGTCACAATAAATAGAATAGTATTACAGCAAAATTGAAAATACAAAAAATTAGTGCGAATAAAATGCATAGTAGGAGAATTTAATTGAGACAATAATAAGATTGTTGTGTGAATATAATATGTAATAAGGAGGGTGATATCAAGGTAATTACGATAAACGAATTGGGAATGATGGATGTGAAGATTAAGATAGAGGTAATAAAAAAGAGGGGGTAAGATGTTTATAATATTCAGTTTAGGTTTATGGTTATCCACTCGTGAGCCAAGGTAAACAAAGAGGCTGGATATATTTTTTCTAGATACATAAATTTGGTCTTCTGGAGTCGATCCAGATGACTTCGGCTATGTACAGCAGTTGTAATCTAGCTTCTTGAGGTAGATAATTTTGAACTTGATGTAAAACAGAAAAAGCTTCCTCTGTTTTGATATGATGTTCCCTATCTACCAAGTGAGACAGAATGGTGCTGTTAATCGATTTGGTAAATGCTTTTCCCAACCATGCTGGTACATGTTCACGAACACACAAGGATAAAGCCCCGTGAGTACGGCCTATGTAACTAGTTCCACAGGAGCAGTTGAATTGGTATACACACATGGAATAGCCTATTTTCAGTAACCTATCCTTGATTGGTTGTGTGAGTACTGGTTTAGTTGAGAAAATAATGTGTAGCTTGGCGGCGTGAAACGTCCTTTCGACAGATTTTTTGAGTCGGTGTGTTAAAATCTCATCTGCTATGTCCCGTTTAAAGTCTAATCTCAGATGTCTTTTTACTGACTGTCACAATTTCTTCTTTTTTTTAGTACTTTGTACGAGGTATTTCTTAACGAAATTATCAGGATAGCCATTATTTCGTAATGTGTTTTTTAGTATATCTATTTTGCCATCCACACTGTTTTCAGAACATAATAACTTGATTCTGTGGTTGAGACATTTAACCAAATTTATTTTATATTAAAGAAGTGTGAAGATTTGGAAATGAGTATACTGACCCGTCCATGTACTCTTTCTAAATATATTTCGCTTTATGGAACCGTCTGTCCATCTAAAAAGTAGGACATCCAGAAAAGCTATACTATTGTCTTTCTCCTCCTCGCTGGTAAATTTAATGGCTGGGTGGACATTATTGAAAGAGTCCAACATCTCCTGTTTGTCGATATATTCGTCACATATGATTAGTGTGTCATCTATGTATCGACAGTAATAATCAAGCTTACTTAGGATGTCTTTAAGAGGTCCATTTTCTAGCTTGGCCAGAAAAATATTAGCAAGGATCGGGCCTAGAGGTGATCTCATTGCTACCCCATCTACTTGTCTGAAAAATTCATTGTTAAACTTAAAGTAGATATTCATAGTGCATTTCAACAAAAGTTCTTTCATTTTACTTACTGGGATCGCTATCTCTATTTTCTTTTCTAGCAATTGTTCACATATGTAATCGATAGTTTCAGTCAGAGGGATGTTAGTGAACAAACTGCTGAAATTTTTATCAGTTAACATTATAATAGTTCTTTCTGATATACCTTAACAAAAAGCTTATTAACTTTGGAAAGAACCGGCACCTGCTCAAAGATAGCAATATAAATTTAGCATGTAATAAGATTAAACTGTAAATTTTCTTGAAATAGTTGCAAAGATACTGCAAACCAAGTAACAGATGGTAGCATTGTTTAAGTTTCAAACATGAAAGTATCGCAATAGATCCATGTAAAAATTTAGGTTAAACACAAATGTTGAGTTTTTAATTTCAGGCTATTCAATAATATTACTCGTCTACATAAGTCGTGTTTAGATAATTGAACTATCCATAATCACTAACCTGAATAACAAACAATCTAACAGTCGTCAATGACTGCTGGTAGAGATAGTTTCATTGGTATTTTGATGAAAATGAGATAATTATGTCACTAACAAATTTAGCAAATGTACAGAATACCTTTCAAATTGGTCAGAGTTTAGAAATATTGGCGATTGTATCTCAAATCCATGTCATCGTGAAACATTCGCCCCGTATTTGTCAAACAGAGTATGTACCAATGAGTGGCTCAAAATTCGAAGTAATGCACTATCTAGATTTTTCTTATTACTAGTAGCACTGCAATTACTGAAAACTCACAGAAAATTACCACAAACGAGGCCAACGTAGCAAATTTCCCTTATACAACCGACGATATTGTGATGCCATTTAATACCATGAAGCTTAGCGGGTAACTAACCTATAGGAAGAATTATTGAACACAATATTATAGTTTTCTGCTACATTGATATTGTAACCTGATACAAAATTCGTAATCTATGTATGAAAGGAATTTAAAAGACCTTGTGCAACACAATAAAAACGAAAGTGGTAATGTAATTTGAATATAATTCAAATTTAAATCATTAGGAAATTGTTATACGTGGTAAAGTAAAAAAAACATCCGATATTAAATCTTATGTTATTAGGTTGTGAAGTAACTAATCGATGGTCAATAATATACCAACCAGTTATTCCAATAAATCACATATCAGTTTCTACAAGAAAAGACCACTGAATTTTAGAATGTTATCGATTTTGGTCACTAAACTTTTCCTCCCTAATATTCCAGGTCTTTTCACAGTGATCATTTGATTGAATACGATTTTGATGAATTCTAGACAATGAAAAGCATTACAGAAACACTGGATGATTACTTATTTCTGATCATGTAATATTGGAAGTAGGGATGTAGATATTCTTGTACGGTGCAGATGGATTAACCGTTACACAAGCAATGATATGATGAACTGGTTATCTACAAGTAGATGATTTTGTGTTAAGGTAAAAAACTGGAATGAACGCTACGACTTTTATCGAATATAAAAAGTGAAAGTGGGTTAACGTGTAAAAATTATCTCTAGACTAACATAATGTAAATAATTTCATTGTCGTTTAAGTAAATTACTTCGACTTCGTATACAGGATATTACTAATGCCATTTGAAACGTAATCATCGTAAAAGAAGCTTCAGGGTCTACAAGACACCTCCATTTATGTTCATGACAATCATTACCTGTATATGTCCGATGATGACATTAAGTCATACTGTTTATCTGGATGATAACAGAAATTGTTAGGCAAGACGTGAATATCCAAAAGAAACTTTATGATTAAAGATTGTTTTCTCAAGCCAACCTTTAAGTCTTAACCTGCATATCAAATTTAGTAATTTTTTAAAGACTCCGTCCAGCTGATTAACCAGAATCCAATTAACCAGTACAGTTTATTCAAATACGGTGTACGAAAATTTCTTGATATGACTGACTGATTTTATTTATTTGTTTAACAATAATCACACTACTGACCTTTTACATGTAACAGAATGAAGAAACTAATTACTTATATCTCAATTTTAGCCAAACATTCAGATAATTTTGTCAGTTTCATGTTTTATCGATATTTGAAGATACACTGGTGATAATCAATAGTAAGGAGACGAGATTCCTAACAATTGAATTCAAACATTAAAGTAGACCAGGTACGGCCGAGAGTGGGGAGAGTCACCTCTCCCTCGTTGAGGGTAAAAATCGAGCATGCATACAACCACTGCCAGGGAAGTCCTACTCACTGCCTTCTCGTGGCGGGGATGATGTTTACGAAATTGGGAGGACGAAAAACGAATGTCCAGCGCGTTAACTGGGTTGGTGGATTCGGAGGATCCACCTAGGGTAGTTGGAAAACCCTGATTTCAAACCAATGGTGCTCATGGGCTCCAGTATCCTGAGGGAACAAATGTCGTATGAACCAATTGTTGGTCGTCGACTACCATGGGACTGCATTTCCTTACGTTGCTCCACTGCCTTGTGGATTAAATGTTTAGGTCAAAGGCTCGGAATGTGGCCACCTAAGTAAACCACCTGTTTCGGTTCGGGTACCTGGGCATTATCTCAGCCCTCACATAAATCGAATGATTGATGTGGTGCATATCTATTCAGTGCCTTCTTGTACCAATATTTACGTGTTTAAATAATAAATCTAAATAAAACATTAAGGTCAATTCCAAGTATATTATTTTTCTTTGTGTACACAAACGGTATGGCCTAACCACGAGAACATAAATACGTGCCTGGTAAGTGCGTTAACTACTGTCCTTAATTACCATGAATATCAAACAACACTTATTTCAATAAACATCTTTTCATAAATTTAATTAGTTTTAATCAGCAATATACAAAAGTGATTTATATTTTATCAAATCTAACAATTAGTCCATTATCACCTACACACAAAAGAATATCTCCATCGTTAGCAAAACGAGTTTGTCTAATGGCACTGTGACTTAAAGGCATACCACCGGGACCAACTCCACTAACTGTAGGGAAATGAAGTACTTGAGCTGGGAGATTAAGAGCATTTTCAGGATATTTTAAGTCCCACAAATAGACACGTGATGGCCCAGTTCCCGTACCCAAAGCCAGAACATGATTCTTTAAATCTATATCAAAACGAATATACCATAAGTTACAGTCAGTAGCTTTTAACTGATGGATAATGCTTGTCTTGTGTTCGGTTGGGACACCAGGTGCTGGGGGGATAGGCGATTCAGGACCTGTGTATGAGCCAATATGTTGCATCCGACTCGGCAAACGCAGGCCGCCAACATCTGTTGAGGTATTACTTGGAGACCCGTTGCATAAAATAGGAATATTTGCTGAGGAATCATCTAGTCCACCAGGCTTCCAGAGTGTGACACTGTTTTCACACGATTTTGATATGACTAAAGAGCCAAACCAACGGGCACAGTCCACATAATTGCCATGTACATCACGAGAACTAAATTCAGGGAAGTGTTGAACAAGCACAGGGAACGGCCTACGAAATAGCAGTTTGAGAGAAATATGGTTGCAAAAAAATAGCTCATTATGATTAAAACAGTGAGAACACAGATAACATATAAATTTTTAGTTTCATTTATCATATAACAAGGCGAGATAATTTTCTGAATGTCTGCAACTACTTTCCTAGTGGTAAGGTTTTGATGTTGCATAACAGTGAATCATGGGTTCAGTGACACTGAATAGCGTACATATGATTAAGATATACTGGATAAATACAACGAAAGACAGTAGTTTACTCTAAAATTGATTATGAATATATACTATACTTCCCTAACTACATCCCATGGTCCTGTGGTGTGTGCTACTGATGTCAACAGATATAAGCAGTATGTATCATCAATCGAAAGTGAAATACCTGACAGCAGAAGGTTAAGAAGATCGAAAAAATGGGGACGAGAACAGTAAGTGATTGCAGTGGAAATGGAGGAAGAGTGAAGTCTGAGACGATTGACTGATATTTGCAAAAGGAACAGTTAAGTTTGAGACAATTGATTGACAGTTTACAAATTAAGTATTCACTGTATGGTTCTCAGATTTTACTAAAAGATTCTGTAATTTTGTGTTCAAACACATTCGATTGCCCCCCATTTGTGTTCTCGTTCACTACAGTCCCACTGAGAACAGACAAACAGGTTAATCCCCGTTCAATTGGCTCAAAGAGATTCTTTCGTATATTTAGATATCAAAACACCGCTTGTTACGACGGATGACAATATTTAATGCTGAAGCAGCACAAAATATAGTCACGAAGACATGCTACTTAAGACTCCTCGATGAAACGGAAACCGTCATCTAGAGTTTCCTACTTTTTTATTGATAATCAAGCTGATATCAGTTCCTGATGAAAACTATTTGCAAAATTTGTTCCTAAAAATACCTTGTTTACTTCCCATAATCAGAGGGGGATATTAGCATTAGTCCAGCAAACACTTAATTTAGAGTGATAACATATATCCTTGTTGGTCTTAGAAAGAATCAGAGTTCTAGCTGTGCTATAGTGCTGATATGGGGATTAAACACGAAACGAAGTCACTTACTATAGGAATATTGTCCTTATACAAAACACATCTTAAATTGAAATAAAGGTAGAAGCCTGTTATGAAAGCGTGACTATATAGTTTCACATTGATAATCACCGGATAATTTAAATGTTAAATTCTCGATAGAAATTAAATTGAAAACAAGTATGCGAGATGTATGTTAGATTCTACATATTCTGGATTTTACTTAGTAAAAAAATAGTTTAACACTTATTTCCAGTGAATTTCTCTAGCATATTTGGCCAAGTGACCTGGTTAACTTAATGAGATATGGAAAACGGTAAGTGAATAAATGATTCGATTTGGTGGTTTTTTTAAAACTGGAGTCGCGACGGTCTAAGTATTCAAACGCGTCGACAACTTCACTTATCTTGGAAGTCTGATCAGTCCTAATGAGTTGGCGTCTGACGAAATCTCTGCACGAATTTAAATAGCTCGTTTAGTTTGTACCAACTTACGTCACCTATGGCGAATGCGAGATATGCGTCTATCAATAAAAGGACAAGTATACTGTGCGGCACTTCGTTCGATTCTACTTTTCGGCTGCGAAACGTGGCCATCAAGGTTAGAGACTATTCGTAAGTTACTAGTATTTGACCACAAATGTCTTGGAAATATTGCTCGCATCTGCTGGGATCACCAGGTAAGTAATAGTGAGGTTAGATGCATGGTATTAGGGAATGATGGCAAACCAGTTGGTGAGGTTGTGGATATTTATCGACTGAGGTGGTTGAGCAACGTATTACGTATGCCCAATCACCGAATACCACGGCGCACTATGCTGACTAGTTGGAGATGGATGGAAAAAATTTAGGTGTGGCCAAACCAAAACGTGGTATAGTCCATAAAACCACTAATTTCTGGTTTGAGCCATGTTGATAGATGCAGACTACTTGATTGAGGTCCGCGAGACCATCGTAACTAATAGGTGAAGACTCAGTCAGTCAGTAACAACGTAGAACTTCGTACGTACATACATCAGTTCGAGTTGCCACACCACATTAGGACACAGATGTAGTGGTCGATTCAATTCCTGTAGTGGTAGAAGTAATAAGAGTATAATACAGTGAAATAAATTTGGGAAGAGAAAAATAAGAGACAAGGAGGAATAAGGAGATAAAAATTTGGGAGAACACAAAGAGTGTATGCACCTGTGCCACTGCAAACGATTTTGAGCCATGTCATTCACGGTCTCTAACCATCAGTTGGTATCATCTCGCGGTCCCCAACCAGGTAGTCTACACCTACCAACATGACTCAGTCCACTTGTCAGTAACTTTATGGACTTGTGCCATGTTTTGGTCTGGCCGCCCCTAGCTTTCTTCCAACCTACTCCTATACCAGTGAACATCGCACGTCGAGGCAGTCGGTCGTTGGGCATAGGTGAAGACTGGATGACATGGCTCCGAATCGATCACAATGGCGTCGGTGTATACTCTATCTTTCCTTAAACCATGAGATTAAAATTGTTTTGTACCTTTGCTTTGTACACTCTTTTTCTTCCATTTAATCGTGATTGAAACTACTTTACACCTTCCATTCTACGAAACTCCGCCTGTAGCTGTCTTAGGGTTACAGCTGGTCCCAAACACGGGTAAATTTGTGGTGGGTTTAGGGTCAGCAACCCCATCCCGTGGAAAACAAACTCGCTAAAAAACGCTAACCACAATAGACAAACTACACCATTTAAACTCTGCTCTAGGACTTGAAGGATCTTCATCCAGAAGAATTATGACGCCTCATGGTGAAAGCCAATATTTTTCGGAAGTCATGAGTCCGACATCCCTTCTAACAACTTTTCTGCCCAAGACGGAGTTCAAGAGAGAATGCTGATAAGCAGTCTACGCTCCTCCACAAAGGATATCAGGTGTAAGTACGTAAGTTTCTTTCTAGGAAACCAGTTTTTCTCCCTATATCATATCCTTATATGCAATCTTTTGATATCTTACTACCATTGAAGTAACTGCTTCTATGAATTTGGTGTTTATCTCGATGTGCCAATGAGGTATGGTAACTTGAACCGGTGTATATATGTACCTGGTCCTATATTGTAGATGAATGACTGATTAAAACTGAAACAATCCTATTTCGTTTCGAATTTTAAGCGGAAGTTCAGCAAAAACAGCCTTGAACGAAACTATGAAAAAAATCTAACAAAGACACAACTACCATAGTAAATGAATAGAAGTATTAGTCTATAATATGGGATCTATAAAATCTAAAGGTTACGGAACCAAAGAGAAATAGAAACCTACCATTGATTTTGATTAATTGAGTAATTACGTATGGAGTTTAATAAAAGGAGTGGATGTCAGTGAAGACGGTTCCGTCTTTATTCATGTCTGTTAATGCCTCAAACTACTGAGTTAAATGCTCTGCTGGACCTTTCCAGGAAGCTGTGTCAACAAATGCTAGTCTTGTACGACACTTTTATTCCCCAGAGCTGTCATAAACTGACTATACTTCCACAGCGTTGAGAAGTAATTTTCAGTATAGAAGCTATTCAGATAGCATTCGTAAAAAATACCCAAGTCATTGAAGACAAAGTTTCAATATATTTATTTGGTTGCGATCACTATGCCCAAATGAATTACCGGAATTAAACATTACTTACGCTGCGTCGCCAGAGGATTTGACCGGTTTAGGGACAACCATGATAGAACATGGAATTGTTCAACAACCTCAGGTGGGATAAGCCAGATTTTATATGCCTAATGCACAACTACTCTTAACATATTTGCATGCCATACATTTTCCAGCCAAACTAATAACAAGGAAGATGGTCTCGACTAGGATAAAACGCTCTGACTCTTTTTAAGTACAGTAATCTGACTTATCACAACACAGCTAGCACTCATACTTATCCGAATACATAAAAATCACGAATATTTAGCTGTTCCCAATGAGGTAGGCTCACTTGCTGGATATGGTGGGGGACTTACGATTTTAGATGTAATGCTACATAAAAGCTACTCACTAAATGTTTGAAAGCTCAAAAAAATTTTGTGATACTACTGTTCATTAGCGACCAATATGTTCACCTCAACAACTGAAGATGAAAGATTGGTTAACCAATGAAAGTGTTCAATTGTTTAATTTAGGCCTTTAAAAACAAGACACAATACTAAGTTCTAACGCTATAAAACTGGAGAATTCTTAATACTTCAGTATAAACATTGAGCACTCAAGCAGAAATGATACGGAGGCTTTTAGGTTGATCCAATAATTGGTATTCCGATGACGCACTAACATAAACCACCTGCTTCATTTGTACTTACTGTGTATCTCGAAGCAATTTCTGGTCTGGTAGTCTTGGTTTAGATGTAGTAAAAGTCAAGTACAGTTTTCTGGACTGACACATTCATGAAAAAACGCCAAAAGTTGTGGTTTTTAGGTAGACAAACAGTTGAGATGTTTATGGAAACAAGGAAAAATACAACATAAATCAGATCAATATTTGAAGGGCTATGACCGTGAAGAACTTGGGTTAAATTTATTATTACTGTAGAAAATAGAAGTGCACCCATGGCAAATAATCACTGACCCATTACCTGTAAAACGTAATTGTCTGTTATATTTGCCGCATCGATGGATGTAAACCGTAGAAAAACAAAGCAAAAAATAAAGAAATGCATGCAGACTTCCGAAAGACTTTAGTTTATTTCTTTAGTTCGCAGTACAAGCTCCCCAACGACAGCACAGATTCTAAGCTCCGTGCCACTGTTACCATCTTGTGAGTAAGCTATGACACCAGAATCACAAATTAATAAGATACAACATTATTAGTCATGAGTTGTATGCCAAGTCGTTCTTTAAAAAGACCGAGAAAGGTTAAAAACATAGAATTTGGAGCGTAGTTTTTCTTCCAGATATTTTATTTTAGTCACATTACCATTTAAATATTATTTAAAGAAGACACTCAAACACGAGCATAACCTTGAGGAAGAAACGGACGATGAAGTATGTTATCTAAAAACAATGCACTAAAAGCACATTGAGAAGGAATAAAGTCCACGGACAAGAAGAATAAAAAAATTGTCCAAACAATTTTAATACATTTTTAAACTGCAACTCTAACATTATATTTGTGTTGTTAAATAATAATAATGGTTTCACCGTGTAATGTCAGATGCACTCCATAAGAAGGCCATATTCCTCTTGTTTCTCAGTCCTGACGAATGTTTCATGCGTTTGAACTCCAGCTCAGTTACTTATATCAGGTCAATAAAGCTATCTTAAGGAGTTTTATGATATCTCCATGTAATAAGTATCATATACAGAAATTATTGATTTATATGTGAAAAATACGTTTGATATGACCTTCGATTTTATGTCCAAAACGATCTGTCACGCGTGATTCATTTGCTGAAAATCTCATGAAATGTGTGCAGGTGGTAATGTGGATTAATTTATTGTAAGAGAAAGGGGAATAAAAGTATTTGAATGGTTATAAAGCAAAAATATTTCGAAAACAAATTCAAGCAGCCGGTAAGTTAACACTGTGTAAGACCCTCTGAAAGTGAAGTTTTCATCGACGACTCTGTGGCTTATTCAATTTGCAAGGGTTTTCGTATTACCACCCAAAATTAGGATGTCATTACCAGGCTAAGTCTCCTATCCATCAGATATCAACAACACTTGTGTTGATTCCATCCATTATTAGATAATATGCATTGAATCATTGCGTTGTTTCATCACACACGCAGTTCTACAGATGTATCATTTCATATTTAGATTTGAAGTTCTTGCACATTTCTCGAGGTACAAAATATACTAATAGGACTGATTTTGAGATTTCGAGCAGAATTTCTATGGCAGATATAATGAATCATACACGACTCAAAGTAAATATACTACTTGTTCCCCAATTCATTT